GGGAAACATGTAGGGGAGGGAGAGACGGCCTAGCGCGGCAGAGGGAGGTGAGGAGTAGCGAGCAACGACAGATGTGTACAGTGCGTGTGCAGTCTTGTGCTGGCCAAAGTGCTCGCGTTCGTCTATCGGCAGGGAGTTGTGAATAGCGAAGCGAGCGTGGGCATCACGAGTCTGCCACTGTGAGCGAGCAGTGCTGTCAGCAGTAGCAGCAGAGGCAGTGACATGGCCTAGGGCGTGGTCGTACAGCGAGATGTCGTCCTTGGCTGTGAGCTGTAGATAGAGATGCAGATCATCTAGCCAGGTATCGAACTTCACTAGGCGGCCCTCAGCATCGAAAGCTAGCAAAGGAGGGCTAGCCATTGCAGCAGTAGAGTAGCAGTAGTAGGGTAGGAACAGGAACAGGAGCCGCTGCAAGTGGGGCACAGTAGGGAGGCGCAGTTCGGTTCGGGCGGTAAGCGAGCGCAGGTGTGTGGGAAGCGTGCACAAGTGTGCGGGAAGTGAACTCGGGTGTGCGGTAAGCAAACTCAGGTGTGCGGGAAGCGTGCACAAGTGTGCGGGGGCCCCTAAGGGTGGGACGCGCGGGGACGACGGGGCCAGCGGGGCCGCTAAGGGGCGGCTCGTGGGGTCGACGGGGCCGGCAGGGGCCTCTAAGGGTGGGACGCGCGGGGTCGACGGGGCCAGCGGGGCCGCTAGGGAGGTGAGCGCGGGGCCGTAAAGGGGCCTCTAGGGGCCGACGGGGCCGTTCGGGGCCTCTAGGGAGGTGAGCGCAGGGCCGACGGGGCCGTAAGGGACCTCTAGGGAAGTGAGCGCGGGGCCGACGGGGCCGTAAGGGACCTCTAGGGAGGTGAGCTCGGGGCCGACGGGGCCGTTCGGGGCCTCTAGGGAGGTGAGTGCGGGGCCGACGGGGCCTCTAGGGAGGTAAGCGAGGGGCCGACGGGGCCGTTAGGGGCGATCGCGGGGCCGAAAGGGGCCGCTAGGGGCGAGCGCGTGGGCGGTTTGGGGCCTTAGAGGGCCGTGAAAACCGAGGCGCCCTAGGGCGCAGGTAGGTAGGTAGGTAGGTAGGTAGGTAGTGGTGGGCCCTAAAAAATCGGTCCTAGGAAGGACCTGCTCTATACCATGTTGAAATAACGGAACAGGAATGAATGGACTAGCAGTGAAAACAGTACAAGTATCTAACCCTAGAATTGTGTACCCCCTATAGGCTAACCCACTGCAGCCTAAACAAAGACAACAACAAATATAATGTTTGACACGCTCACGTCGAGAAGGCCATGCATCCGTACAAGTGCAGCATATGCAAGCTACATGGTCACAACAAGAACCGCTGCATGGGCAAGTATGGTGGCAACGCTTACTCGGAGAAGAGGACGTACCGTAAGCGCCCAGAGGAGCGAAAGTCCTATCGCGAGACAGCACATTTTGCCCCCACTATTTGAACTATGTGGGGGTTAATCTAGCTAGAGTAGCTTCTATATGGGTTAGAGTAGTCACTGTAGTATGCGTTTTCTGAACACTTTGGTTAGGTTTGAATAACTAGAATTCGTATCATGATTGATGTGAAGAATAAAGACCAGTAGCGTGCAGTTTTAGCATCATGCACACGTCAACCAAACGTGAAAGCCTTGTTGGCCTGGACCAAAACAGAAAACCCTGTGGATTGATCGTTTGGAGCATACAAAAAATATATCTAGGGTTGAAGTACCCATCCCTACATTGTCATTATCCCGTGAGCAAACATTCACGTCAAAGTCAAGATACCCGTGCTCGCCTTGGGAATACAATGCCACTGAATCGATTCCATGCCTGATCATTTACCAATGGCTAGTGAAACGCCAGTGAAATGTCCATGACGTGTAGTAACTGAGTGTTGCGCGCCAGTAGCAGCAGCGTCACCAACCCATAAACTCCCAATGATTGTCAAGAAAATGCGCTTCAACTCAAAAAGGCGGCAGTCAACCCGCCGTGAGTGCACATCCATATCTTAGCCCCGCTCTGGATGGTAATTTACCAGGTCGTAGCGACAGGCTAGTTAACAATCCCTGTAAGCTTATTGTACAATAATTTACGCCGCTAGGAGAGTTGGCGCATCATCCAGCTGCTGTGGTACAGTATTTCGCCAGTGAAATGTTCATAAAATGCAACTGAGAATATCGCGTGTGTCCGGTTCGGAGTGCCCGTGGCCACCCGTCAACAACCCGTGAACACCCAGTCATGGTATGCTATTGGCTAGAACAGCCGGGAGTCACGTACCCATGTGCGTGAGGCCACAACCGGCCGAATACACTAGCTTGGTAAAGCCTCACCAGGTCCCCATGGTTGGCCCGCGAATACGCCGTGATGCCTCAAGCGAATGCGGCAACTAACCGATCGCGAAAAGCTTGCAACTGATCTATGAGGCCAGAACCAAGAATTTCGCGAGTAATTCGTTTATTTTCCACTGTAGAAGAGTCATAAAAAAAAAACGGTCATTAAACCACTGAACTAACAAATGGAGGAAGACGCAACTACTACTCGTGAGTCCGTCTCCTTCGTTTTTGTTTAGCTTGACACTGCACGTGAGACGAGGCTTCCGGATCCACCGACACTGTATCAGCCGCCCTCCGTTCCTTATCCATCATCTTACTAAAGGCGTTCCGTTGGCCTTGTCAAAGTGCTAGTTGAGGGCCCACTGTTATGCATTTTGGGAGGGAGCGTACGGGTTGGAAAGGGGGTGCAGAGAAATCAAGTGGTTGGGTGAGAGTCAGGGTGAGGAACACCGCACGGTTATTTGTAGCTGCCACCTGGCATATGGGCAGGGGGATATGGTGTGTTCGAGTCGCACATACCATTTCTGTACTCGGCCAGGAGTTCCTCGTGGTTGAACCACTTCTTTGGGTGTAGCTCAGTGGGCAGGCTATCCACGAGATGGGCGTAATCGGAGAGGCCCATGCCGGCGTACGTTGCTGGCCTGAGGGTGCTGTTGATTGTTGACCTGGTTGATGACAGTTGGTGGTTGAAGACACCCATGGTTGACTTGTCGTTGTGCAACCACAGCAGCTTCATTGACTCGAGCCCTTCGGCAGACAAGTGGACAGCGAACGCCTCGAACACTTCCTCCGGTGCAGGGTAGTGCTGGATTTTTTCCGAGGGGTTCAAAAACAGGAGCTGAGAGCACACTAAGTAGGCCTTGTTCTGTGCAGGGGTGTGGGGTTTACAACACGACATGGGGAGAAAGAAACCATCAGTTATGACTGTGGCCGCGTGACCACAGGATGGACTGTGTGAACTTTCCACGTCACACCCTCCTCCATCCGCCACGTCCACCAGCAACCAGCCCCAATTGCCACGTCACATCCACCCACCCCATGCCACGTCACCCCCTACCCACCAGATACGCGTCACCTCGTCACGCGCCGCTCCCGTGTAACCTTCCAAGCCGCCACGTCAGGCCCAAGCCTCACAATCCACCACGTCACACCCTCTTGCATCCGCCAAGTTGGGGAACAACCAGCCCCACGTGCCGCTTCACACCCACCCACCCCATGCCACGTCACCCCCCACCCACCTGACACGCGTCACCTCGTCACACACCGCTCCCTTGTACCCGTCCAAACCATCATGTTAGCCCCAAGCCTCACATCCCGCCACGTCACACCCTCCTCCATCCGCCACGTCACCCCCCCACCCACCTCACACGCGTCTCCTTGTCACGCACCGCTCCCGTGTACCCGTCCAAGCCGCCACGTCAGCCCCAAGCCTCACATCCCGCCACGTCACACCCTCCTCCATTCGCCACATCAGGGAACAACCAGCCCCACGTGCCCCACGTCACACCCACCCATCCACCCCATGCCACGTCTCCCCCCACCCACCTGACAGGCATCACCTCATCACGCGTCGCTCCCGTGTACCCGTCCAAGCCGCCACGTCAGCCCCAAGCCTCACATCCCGCCACGTCACACCCTCCTCTATTCGCCACGTCAGGGAACAACCAGCCCCCCGTGCCCCACGTCACACCCACCCACCCACCCCATGCCACATCACCCCCCACCCACCTGACACGCGTCACCTCGTCACGCGCCACTCCCGTGTACCCGTCCAAGCCGCCACGTCAGCCCCAAGCCTCACATCCCGCCACGTCACACCCTCCTCCATCCGCCACGTTAGGGAACAACCAGCCCCACGTGCCACGCCACACCCACCCACCCACCCCATGCCACGTCACCCCCCACCCACCTAACACGCATCACCTCATCACGCACCGCTCCCGTGTACCCGTCCAAGCCGCCACGTCAGCCCCAAGCCTCACATCCCGCCACGTCATACCCTCCTCCATCCGCCACGTCAGGGAACAACCAGCCCCACGTCACACCCACCCACCCACCCCATGCCACGTCTCCCCCCACCCACCTGACACGCGTCACCTCGTCACGCGCCGCTCCCGTGTACCCATCCAAGCCGCCACGTCAGCCCCAAGCCTCACATCCCGCCACGTCACACCCTCCTCCATCCGCCACGTCAGGGAACAACCAGCCCCACGTGCCACGTCACACCCACCCACCTACCCCATGCCACGTCTCCCCACCCACCTAACACGAGTCACCTCGTCACGCGCCGCTCCCGTGTACCCTTCCAAGCCCCCACGCCAGCCCCAACCTGCCCCATTTGGCCCGCCACATACCGGGAATGGGTTTGTCTCCTGCAACACTAGCACTCGTGCCTTGTCCACGGAACTCATCAGCGGCGGGGTACCAGCCAAAGGCGCGGCTGCAAAACCCTTGGCATAACTGGCAGGTACTCCACGACGTAGGCCGAGCTGTGCAAACATGGTGTACATCTCAGACTGCAGCGCCTGGAACTCCTCCCGTGTAACAAACTGCTCGTGCTCCGCACTTTCACCTAGGGCACCCATGAGCGGTGGAAAAGGGTGTGAAGAATCTCCCCTCTGGCCAAGGGTTTCAGCATCTTCTTCAGCAGTCCCGTGTGCCCTCAAACTATCACGCTGGCGGGAAAAGGGGAGCTCAGGGAAGGGATTGGCAGAAGTGCTTGGCTGATGCCCGCGCGAAGGACCAGCGAGGGGGGAGACCGCCCTGCCCCGGACAGGAGAAGCGTGTAGCGGCCGAAATGGGTACGAGGGTGAGGCGAGTGGGGAGTGCGTGATGGGGCCTGGTGGAGGTGATTCGGATTCCTCTCCTCTTGGCGCGCCGGGAGCCGTCGCAGCGACTTTGCTCGGGCCGGAGTACGGCGTCAAGAAACTTGGGGCTCCTGTGGATAGCGGCGTCACACTTGCTCTTCCGGCCCCCTTCGTTAGCTGCATCCATTGCACGCTTACCGGTGGCCCAATGCCTGTAACACGAGGGGCTGAGATTTAGAGGGAGTAGGATCAAGGAATTAAAGTCGATCGGTATCAATACAGGGCCACACAGTCATGCATGAAATCAATGGTTTGAATCTAAATCGGGCTTAGCCGTATACTGTTTTGAGACAGGAGACATTACCTTTCTTTGCAGATTCGTCATCCTTCTCCTTCACTGCAGGGGAAAAACAACGTGTAGAATGGTGTTATTTGGCACGGTTGAGCAGAGAGTGCAACAACCATGCCCGGTCTATTGGCCAGGGTGCTCACCTTTCTGCTGTCACTTCGGTTTTTTTGCTGCCAGCGCCTTCTCGTTGCCACCTTTCCGCGGGGTGCTTTGACGGCCGCTGCGACGATTACCGGCAGGTTCTTTCTTGCCAGAACCCAATGGAACCCCTTTGGCGCCGCCACCCTTACCTCCCCCATCCCCTTTTGCTCCCTAGCGCCCTTGCTTTTTACCACCCCCTTCACTTTCAACCTTCACCTTACGCGCCTTCAGTTTGCCAGCTGCTGCGCCGCGCGCGGCGTTAATTGCCCCGCGTTTTTGGGAATGGCGAGTCCGGCCCCCCACCTTCCCTGTACCACTCTGCCGTCTGCCACGCCCGCCCCGTCCCTTCACTACCACCACGTCCTCCTCCTCCTCCTCCCCCTCTTCCTCTTCCTCCTCCTCCTCTGCCTCCTCCTCCTCCTCCTCCTCCTCCTCCTCCTCCTCCTCCTCCTCCTGTTCATCCTCCTCCTCGTCGTCCCCCTGCTCTTCTTCTTCTTCCTCCTCCTCCTCCTCCTCCTCCTCCTCCTCCTCCTCCTCCTCCTCCTCCTCCTCCTCCTCATCCTCCTCCTCGGCCTCACTAGGGTCTTCACCACCCCGTTTCGGCCTCGTCCTCATCGCTGATTTCTTGCCCCTCCTTCCGCCGGATGTTTTTCTTGCTGCGGGTCGGCCCTTTTGGCGCAATGCATGACCCGTCGCTTTGCCACTAGCTTTACTGGCGCCTCGCGTTCTCCCAACTTCCGCACCACCGGCGTCGTCGGCACTAGCTGTCGTCTGCCGCCTCTTCGCCCGCGTGGTGATGTCCCCGGGCACGGTGGTGTCAAAACCGTCCTCCTTATCGCTCTTCCTCTGCCTACGTCTCCCCCGTCCATCAGAAGGAGGAGAGCCACCGACGTCGGCTATGCCATGGTTAGGATCATCCATCGACTCGTGCTCCCCCACCTTGTTCTTATCCAGCACGGCAGCAGAAATTTTGACCACGGTCGGCTGGAGCAGCGTCAGATGGTGTTGAGATGCCTCCGCCTCGGACTCCTTGGTTGCGGTATGCTCGGCGCGTGGATCGCCTCCGTGGTTTCCCCCTGTCGTCGATCCCTCTCTCTTCGCCGACGGGACTGCAAGACTCGCGCTCCCTTGCCCCGAATGTTCGTAGCCGCCACTGGTGCCGTCATTAGTCGGACCAGGCGTGGTTCCAGTTGAGGCAACATCCACATCTTTGTTCACTGTAGAAACACGCTTGTGTGGCGTTGGTTGCTTCCCGTTGTCTTCCGCCTTCCTGCCGGACTTCTCTTGACCGCGCGTGACCTTCTTTGCCACCACTTTTTTCAGCCTAGTGCCACGCGTAACGGACGCATTAGATTTCTTAGCGCCGCCGCCACCCTCCCTATCGTTCCGTTAAGACATCGTCCTTGTCGCTCGGCGTCCGGCCTGTTCCTCCTCCATTGCTTGTTGACATGTGGCACGTGTCATGGTTGCTGTAGGAATGCCAATTTCTATCGCGCGAAACGGGTTAGCCTGTTTTGAAGGGCCGCAGCAACTGAATCCCACGAAGTGTTTAACGACGACCTATCACTGTTATGTTTCTCCGAAAACCGTTGCTATCACTAAAACTGTAATAGTAGCCACTCATCACAGAGCTACGGCCCGTGAATTAGTATACTGGTGAGTCACGGGCGATCTAGAAACGCGCTTGTCAAACAGCGAGCAGCGTCTAAGTGTTGGCACATAGGGTGACGGGAGCAGGTGGGTGGGGTACGAGGGTGGTTGGGGTGGGTTGCGAGACTATAGAGATTACTGTAACCCTATCAGGCTATATTGGACGGTGTACGTGTAGCCACCCGTGCATAAACCCGCCTACCGCTCGATCTCATCCGCTCAATGGCGGAAGTACCTCTTGGCTGGTGCTTGTGTTGTGTGGGGACTCGTTTGAGATGCATTGGCCAACCACGGTTGCCAACGCATCAATCTCTACGCATGGTATGACGGTTTTAGAACCTCAAGTGCGAATGTAACCTTATCCCTGCAAAGTACAGTGATCTCGTGAACGCACAATGTTGAACATGTACGCTGAATAAATCTAAAAAAATACAACAATAAAAAACATCCAAAACTTTGATGCTAATGGTTTGGCGTTGGATTGTCATCCATTCTTGCATGGACATTCAAGAAGGTGTTTAGAAGGAGTGGTATGAAGCAGAGGCCCAATGCACAAGCGTAGATGTGTTCTCGACAGCAGTGTTTATACAGTGCGACGATGCCGCGTTCCGGCCTGTGTGTTGCGCGACATGGTGAATCCGTTGTGGTATGGTGTTGGATTGTCATCCATTCTTGCACGGACATTCAACAAGGTGCTTAGAAGGAGTGGTATGAAGCAGTGGCCCAAAGCACAAGCGTAGATGCGTTCTCGACACCAGTTTTTATACAGTGCGACGATGACACGTTCCGGCATGTGTGTTGCGCGACATGGTGAATCCATTGTGGTATGGCGTTGGATTGTCATCCATTCTTGCACGGACATTCAACAAGGCGCCCAGAAGGAGTGGTATGAAGCACAGGCCCAACGCACAAGCGTAGATGCCTTCTCGACATCGCTGTTCCGACGCGGCGACGTTGCAGCGTTCAGGCCCATGGCTTGCGGGACATGGTGAAACCGTTGTGGAATGGTGTTGGGTTGGGCTCAATTCTTGCGTGGGCCCTCGACAAGGTGCATAGAGGGTGTGGCATGAAGCACTGGTCCAACGCACGAGCGGTGATGCGTTATCGACATCGCTGTTCAGATGCGGCGACGTTGCAGCGTTCAGGCCCGTGGCTTACGCGACATGGTGAAATGGTTGTGGAATGGTGTTGCTTCCCAAACGGTAGCAGACCACACTAATGGTGTTTCTAAACACTGGCGTTGTCAATATGTCGGAAGGTATTGAGCATGCAGTAAAGAATGGTCGTATAATCTTTATGAGTGACATTACGTAATTTGTTATATGTAACTGTACAAGGTATTACCTGGTTTGGATTAAGGCTATGGGGGTGCGCACCACTTTGGGCACACCTACGTGATCGCGATCTCCCCCCTATAGAGACTCTCGAAAGAATCACAACCCCAAACAGATCTCTTCCCTCTCTTCCTCTCCCACCTCGACTCTCACACACGATTCAAAAACCGAAGTTTTGAATATGGAGGCACGTACTCCTCACCGTGCTCGTCACGCACGCCCGCGACCAAGGTAGCCGTACACCACTGCATAAGGCCATGCTCACATCGTAATCACTCTAACAGGGGGTGACACGCCTTGTAGGAAAGGCCTATACCGTGCTGTCGGCGGTCTGTATCTAGCCTTGTCACGGCCGCGCTGGGCGACCATCGTTAGCCAGTCTCTCACTAATGTGACACGATCAAGTGCCACGTGTGCAGAGATCCAAGCTGACGTGGACACTTTGCGCTCTGGCGATGACCGTGCTGGAGTCTGAGCCTTCATTGACCGTGAAGTAAAAGCATTTAGAAGGTTCAAACCAGCTAGTCTCCTCACACTACATTCCACCACTCTTAGACGGATCTAGAATACATGAGCTCTTTGCCAGGCGTAGTATGCGAGTTCTGCAACAGATGGTTCCCCTACATCCAGGTTTATGGCGGCCATAAGTCACGGCGGACCCCTTGTCAAGGGCTTTCCACCGTGGCAAGGCCCTCCTCGTCTGCACCGTCCGCCGGTCTACACGCTCTGCTGTTCGTTCACGACATTCTGTGAGACGCTCCCGCGGCTCCCACTTCCCCTACCGCATCTAACACGTCCAACACCGACGGTGTGAATGGTCCTCCTCGCGTGCCCGAAGCTGACGGGGACGCAACACCCTCGGCTATGAACGTGGGGGCTCCTGAAAGTGAGCATCAACCGCCTCCCTGAACACCTGCCTCTGAGACGAGTGAGCATCCGGAGAGCCGCCCTGAAGAGAGTCACGCCGCACCGCCGACATGCATCTCTGGGCAGAGCAATGCCACGCCCCTCAATCCGCTTGCGTTGAAGCTGCTGCATTTCGTGCGGCGCGTAAATGGCAGAATGGGAATGGCGGAGATCGACATGAATGGCCTGCTTCAGCTCGTGGTGGAGCCCGGCCTTGCGCCTCTTGTGATCTCAGAGATCCGGAACTACAAGGATCTGGAGTGGTTCGAGATGGAGCGCTTGGTTGGGCTCAATCGCGGATGGTCAGTGGCGACCTTTGAGATTGACGGTCATCCGCCACAGCGCCTTCTCTTCCAGAACTCTGCGTAGGTAAGTTGAATCTGGATCCGTGGCTGTGAAATGCAGATTCCGCATCCATTTGGTGCTTGTTGAACGTTGCCTCTGTTAGGCTTGTGTGAGGTCTGACCCACCTTCAACGCGACTAAGCAGGGTTTGGTTCTCTCCTGCTCTTGCCACTGTACGCCAGGCGTTTGCCGAAATGTTTGGGCATACCAACAACGCGCCCGGCTTCAAGCTCAAGGCTCGTGTCGATAAGGACCTTGACACAGGCAAGCGTCGCTATACCACGCCGGAAACGGGAACGTGGTGGAACGATGCTCAGGCATGGAAATACCCCGTTGCCACCCAAAACCAAAAGAGTGCGCATGCCTCCGTTGATGCGCTGATGTATAGGGAGCATCTTCAGTGTGTCATGTTTGTGGGGAGTTCTTTGAAGCATGCTTAGTCCGCCTGGCGACAAGTTACCTTGTTGGTGTTTGACCGTGTGTCTTTTCCCTCTTTGTCGTGCTTTGCAGGAACACTTCGGATGGTCCGAAGTCATGGGGGGTATCATCCTATACTCGGATGTGACGCACATGAGCAACAACGGCCGGAAGAAGGCATGGCCGCTAATGATGACGCTTGCAAACATCTCCCAGGCCAAGCATTTATTTTGTAATAAAATGGCCAGCTTATTTATGCACTGTCAAGCTTAATTGAAGTCATAGCTAACTAAATTTATTCCAAAATGACAACTATTTTGGCAAGCCACAAAAAAACGACAACGTACGACATCCCGAAATTGATTTTCAACTCCAACAAACAAACGCGGTCCGATTTCGGTCCGTGATTGGTCGCGATTTCGTTTCGGAGCTTCGCCAACCAAAACACCTGAAATGTACACCCCTTTGAACCCCCTTAAAAAACCCAGGTTTTTTGTGATGATAGTGTCGCATATGTCATGAATCTTCGTAAACAAAAACTTCACAGCTTTCATGCCACCTTCTAAGTCGGCTAGGCGGGTCCCTTGATTGCGTAATTCGGCAGCCATCTTTCTCATCGCCGATATGTTGTCCATGATTGGCTGCACTGTGTGGATGTGATCGTTCACCATAGCCAGATAGTCATGTGGCGGAAATATCACCGTTTTGCTGTGCAACTTGTCCGCGAGCGTTAGCTCCCCAGCATCACACATCAAGGATCTAATAGCGTGCCTATAGGTTACAATGCTTTACAAGGGCGAAGGGATCCACTCTAAGTTCCTAAAAGACCGTGCTACAAGTTCCCACAAGAACAAGCACACGAAGATGCCTGAGTCAACGGGGTGTTCATGTTGAGGTACCTGGCTGGCCTGCACATGTAAACGACCCACTCGTCAACAATGTATGGATAGGCGGTCAAACCGTG